ACTTTGGCCTGTCGGGAAGGTCAGGATTTCTCCGCCCACAAGGTGGTTCTTTCAGCATGCAGCCCGTATTTTCGCGTCCTTTTAAACGTGAGTATCCTTCATTCGTTCGAATTTTGCGGATAAAACTGTATTCGGGGTTTATATTTCAAGTACATGCACATGTACCGTATATATGCGTCCATGGATTTTACACCGCTCTAATATTTCAAGCTCGATCCCTGAAACCTTGATCTGTTGAAAATGCGTTTCTTAGTGAACTGAATTTCATTTTTTGGAATTCCTTGAATTTGAGTAAATGAACACATGAAGAACACAAACCTTTATTTTTTTCGTATATTCAGTGACGATCGAATTGCGACTGCGAATTTTTCGTTCAAACTGAACGTGTATCAAAAATCGGAGTATATGCCCGTATTGTTGAAACGGTTGCATTGTTGAATGCAAAAGTAATACCATTTCTTTGCCCTGGGCCACCTCCCATCTGTAGCTTGTAAGGCAGAATGCTGTAAATTTTGAATAATTCATGCATGACAATTCATCCTGATGTAAGTTTTTGGAATTTTTTTAAAGATACAAGTTACAGGTTTCGTCTGGGTTTTGTTCAAAAATGTTCATGAAGATTGCTGGAAGTCCTGCTTGAAATCCAGTTACGCGCATTAATCTATTTTAAATATCTCCATCTACAATTTCAGAAAATTCCCTGTCAGCATCCCGTTATCTTTCTAAAAGATGTTCGACCTGAAGAAATGGAAGCACTGTTGCAGTTTATGTATACGGGTCAAACCAGCATCTGCCAGAATAAACTTGCTGTTCTACTGCAAGCAGCAGCTGCCCTTCAGATCAAAGGATTGGCGGAGGTTTCTGGACTCTCCTACGACGATGTAGGTCATCTATTTTGATTTTCCGGTTTTTAAGGGACTGGTTTGATACGCGATCAAGATATTGATTTTATAGTTTTTGTGCAGTTTTGGACCTCGCGAAAACTTTTTGCGTTCCGAAATCGTAAAAGTTGGTTTTTTTTTTCCGTCCTGAATTATCCCTGTCATTTTGTTCTAGTTGGAACGTGGGGATGTGGGAACTACGGAAACAGCCACGTGTACTCAGCAAGTTGTCGGTGAAGCGCGGAATACGGGGCGTAAACCAGTTCCTCTGAAGAACGACACCACCAGGAGGGATGGTTCCAGTGAACCGACAACGAAAAAGAGGAAACAACTTCCGGTTTTGCAGGTGAAGAGCTTTTCCTCTGGATCGTGATTCCTCACAAGCTGTTGAATTAGAACGCGTGGAAGTAGTTGACCGCCTTCTTCAAGTCTCGTACCTTTGTGATTTGTATTAAGGCGAAGAATGTCAGATTTTATTATGACGTCTATTCAAAGTTTTGGGGGGCATCAGCCCTCGAATTCTGGTAAACGTGTTCCGTTTATTCTCATCAAGTCGCAGTTTCTGGAAGATGCTGGAGAAATTTTCTGACCGTTTAGCTATAGAATAAGTTCATGTTTATCCAGACTAAATAATTTTGCATTCCTTGTCAGAATCCGGAAAATTGACATTATTGCCCCTAATGCAACAAGCGATGCCGCAGAGTGGTCAGGAAGAATTGGACGTACAGATAAAATCTATCTTTTTTGGCAGTATTTTAATGAATGAAGTTCTCGATTCTACTTTCTATCGCTTTTGCGTTGCCCACTAAAAATTATATGAACAATTCTTTGTGCTCAGGAGATGATTTCTTTGAAGATATCCTCAGGAAATTTGTATTTCACCTCTGTTTTTGCACTCATTTTTATGCTTAGTGCCTATTTTATTTTCTATTGCTGCGGGAAACCTGATGGGTTTTCTGGAAATTTTGTATTGCCTCAAGTTCTGAGTTCAAACCGGTTAGTGTCCCTGATACTTGAGGGGTGAATGTCTTACTAATATGTAATTTTCTTCTGATGCATACTCTCGAAGGCCATCACTACGAACGAACAAAAGCCGATGCATGGAAATGGAATCTCGGCTGACTTGACTCCAGAACCGAAGGACTACTCGGTGAGCACACGTGCGTATGAAAGTGACCGCGCAGAAAATTGCGATGGGGATGAACTAAGCAGTATCAGGGATTTGGCAGCCAAGGAGAACATTGACTCCAATATTCCTTCGGTGAAATCCGAAGCCTTGGACGACTACGACGATGAGTAAGGGCCTTTTTTTTTCTCATTACGACGTACAAATGACTGCCATTTTCTGAAACAATTTTGGCTAGCTCTCTAGGAAGACATAGCAATTTTCACCACATATTTCCATCATCATGGGATTTTAAAAAAAGTCTGTGACTTCGAAAGCTTCTTTTTTACTTCACTCATGTCTGACTTCAAATAGGTCAAAAATACAAAAATAATTCACTGAGATTTTCTGTTCGTTCTGGGTGTGTAATAGATTATTTCTGACGCGATGTGTCATGATTTTTTATAGTGAGAAATCATAAAAATTTATGGATGCTTTTTTTGCTTTTATTTTTTGACCTTTGAAAATCCCAACCACTCAAAATCATTAAATGATTGACTGTATTTTCGTCATCTATAATTCATTAATTTTGTTCTTGTAAGCATCCATGTGGAATGAAATTCGTTTGTTGATGCTCGTGTACTTCAGCATGGAAGAGGAAGAAGGTCGAATCATGTTCCCGAATGGATACGAAACAAATGTTCGCAGTCCTGGGGGTACTTTCCAGTACCATGGTATTTCCACGGGCGGAAAATCTCCTCTATTGCCCTTGGATCCTTCCACGCTTTCGTCTGGTGATTCTTCTTTGTCCGCTGCGGCGAAGCTTCAGGAGGTAGCGTCTCGTGTTTGCTCAGGTGAGTGTAACAATTCTTTCGCTTTCTTTGTGTGATACCTAGGAAAATGTCCGCGTTTAGGTAGGTATTAATTGTTTTCTTCTTAATTTAAAATTTTTATCATTTTTCAAGGGTCTGCTGGACTGGGTGAGGGTCAAGGAGGACGCTCAATCGGCGTCTTATCCGCCGCGCTTAAATCCGAATCGTCGTCCGACGACTCGAACACTCCTCGGAAACTGGCCTTTCACGAACCGCGCCCTTGTCCGGTGTGTAAACGAATTTATCGGGACGCCGCGACGCTGAGGACGCACACAGCCATCATGCACACGGAAGGAACGACGCCGTTTTTCTGCTCTTGCGGGTCGCCCTTTCGAACCAAGTACGAGATGTACGTGCACAAGAAGAATGGACACCGGCCCAACTCCGGCAATGAGGGAGACACGAACGGAACGCAGGGCAATTTTGACAGCCCTATTTTTGCCGCCAACTGAGGTCAAATGGCCGGGAAATTGATTTCCATTTGATGGAACATCTTTGAAGCGTACACGGGTTTTAAATTGGTCAACAAAGACTGCCTGGACCTGTTCACGAAAAGGAGTTGAACTTTTGTTCAACGGAGACGTCACGCCCTTTTTTTCTTTCTTAAAAAGTAGAAATTATGTCTGAGTAAAACTTATTTTACTCTAAAACGCGTCAAAAGCAAATCTAAAAAAGTAAAAATTTGCCTAAAAGGATTTTTAGGCGTTGCGAGGAATCTTGCAAAATTTTTTTACGAGTCGTCGATGGAACGATCGATTGCGGGAGGGCTGGTTCATTAGTTCTGTGTTTCTTCTGTTCCTAATATTAGTGAAGTAACACGTGAGCATTTCCACGCCGATTTTCTACGAGGTCTGATTGAAGGAAGTGGAGAGTTCGAAGTTTTGCTCCATCATGGTGACCCAACAAGGTTTATCCTTCGTATTTTTGTTCATTTAAGGTTTTTTTCCACCAAATCTTTCGAATGTTTGAAAACTTCTTTAGTGAATATTCTTAGATCTATTAGCCAGTCCGTCTAAAAACAATTTTTGTACTTCAATCTTGAAAATTTTCTTGATGATGTTGGTTCCTTATAATTTGAATTGGTGATCGCGATGTTGTCCAATTCGAACCAACAAAAGATAATTCTCAGTTTGCAAATGATTAGAGGTGTATCTCAAGTAGTACCGTGAACGCATTGGTTTGGAAGACTCGGAAACTGTAGTACAGTACCCGAACAAATTTATTGCAACGGATCAAGGAAACATTTGAATCATTTCTAGTTTGAAAAAATATATATAGAATTGTCGTTAATCGTTAAGCATGGCTGCGATATTTTTTAAAGTGGGATCAGTTTTTCCCCCCTGTTATGATTTTAACTTCCTGTCGCTTTCAAGTTTGCGAAAATCTTGCTCAGTGAAAGTTCTCATCGTGCCTAAACCTGGTTGTGCAGCAGTGGCTGAAGGAATGTGCTAGTATTTGTATTTTGGAGGACAACTGATTGTATGGTGAAAGACGATTGCTGTTTTCGAGAATCCCACTTTTTTATATTCTTGTGACCCGACGGGCCGATAGTGTTGCAAGCCATTTGCTTAAAGTTTTGATTTCAACATGGCATTCTTCGGAACCGAGATACTCGCGTCAGGCATTCCTTTTTCAAGTTTTCTTCTCATTGGTGAGATCTGAAATGAAGATAGGTTTGTGAGTGTATATACTGTATTTGGACTGTAGGCTGTTACACATTCCTCCTCTTATAGGTGTCGCATGACATTTTCTACCACCGTCATTCAATAAGTTATTTACAACTGAAGAAATGCACGGTACAGTACCAGGAAAAGCTGTAGTAAAGTACATCAATTGGCAATTCACTACTGTTATTTGGTACTGTTCTGTAGACCTCATTTATGGTTACTGTGCTTGGTTTTTTTCTAGCAGTCAATATCAGCGGGGTTTCTCTGAACTTCGAATGAGATTGACAGCCCATTTCGCACTTGAAATATGAGAAGTAATTCACCTGAATGCTAGATTTTATATTTCGAGATGACATTTCTTGCGCATGCTGGATAGTTGAACTAGGATCTTGACTTGGAAATGTTCTGTCATTTTCTAAGTATTTTTTCATCTTTTGACAAGTATAGTAAAGCGCTCACAAATGTTTGCAACAAAACGTCAAGTTCACTTGAAAAACTTGACATTTTTGTACTGGAAAAAAATAAAAATACATTTCCAGCTCGAAAAAACATTTATTGTCATTCCAAAAAGGTACATATTCACGCAAAAACTCACTCGGTACGGTGAAAAAATGAGATACACTGAACCTAAAATACTCACAGCACTACACTGCTCCCAGAAAATAAGCGAAAATAACAAAATAAATTACGGTAATCAAGATTCTTGTACAACTGACTCATTTTCTACAATTTTCCTTCCCTTCCCAACAATATCCTCCTCCAAAACCTCCCTGGACAATAAAACTTCCAAGACATTTCTGTTCGAGTTAATTGCTTCCAAAACATCACAAAATCCAAGTCCAGAGAGATTCCTTCCATTGATTTGCAAAAGTCTGTCACCTGTAAATAAAAATACTATGAAAGCTTCGGAAGCTAAGAGATTAAAAAATAACTCACCTTCCAAAATCAAGCCAGATTGTGCCACAATACTGATGTACGGCATGCAAGCAACGTAGAAGACTTTATCGTCACGTTCACTGATCAACAATCCCCACGGACGCAGATCATCCTCTTCTCTGACTAGCCTAAATGTTTTCAACATACACTTGTCTCATCAGATATTCCCCATAAATTTTTCGTGGATTTGGTAGCTTAATAAACTAAGAACCAGATCAGTTTTTCGACATTACCTGATGTTCATGATTTTTCTCTCAGGTCCAACTCCACACTTTTTAAAGCGTTCCAAAAATGACTGAGAGACAGATTCGTTTTCCCAGTTCCAGTCGGCACACGCTGATTGCGAGCTTTCATCTGCGCTAGCTTCGTTGAGAGTTGTGAAGTCATTCTCAACTATAAAATAAAAATACGTTGGCATGGAAAGCTGAAGTACAGTCATGAGGAAAAAGATTGAGGCAAATTTTCTTTTCTGGAACCTCAGGCAGATGTCCCCTGAATCCACGAACTGACTAATCGCGTAGAAGAGGAATGCAATCTATGCTTGGGGTATCCAAAAATCAAATCCAACCAAGTGGAGCCTAAAGAGGAAGACTTTTTTTTCGAAGTTTGCATGCACAAAATATTTTCTCTTTGATCATGAAAACAGGTTTTAAAAAAAGATTGTTGCCGAGGCAAAAAGTTGAGATCATATACCCAGACTGAATCCAATTTTGCATAAATTAACATTTTATTCAGCTTATTAGTGAAATTATCAACCCAAACACATTGCATTGCGATCATGTACAGTACATAGAAATCATACGAAGTATAGTTCCATCACCACATACCTGGTTCCTTGGAAGATTGAAAATCATCACTCAGCACAGAAATTTCTTGTACGGTTTCCTCCAAAATTTTGCTCACGCTTTTCCGAACTTCTAGAACTGTCTCATCTTCTTCGCATACACTATCGCTAGTCTCAGACAAAGGTAATCTTGAGGTGTTTGCGATCAAGCTGTCTGAGACAACGCAATGGATTCGAGAAAAATCCCTCGTCATTTCACCAAAAAACGTTTCGTCGCAATTATCACCGACGCCACTGTCCCCTGCACTACTGCTTGCATCCGTACTGGTACTAGCGCTATTGCGGCTTCGCATGGGTTCAAAATTTGTCTCACTTCGGGGACTTGGTCCAGGAATTGACACACACGTAACAAAGCGTCCACATAAGCGTTCATTCTGACAGAGGTTGAAATTTGACTTCGCGAGATTCTCGCTCTGAAATTTCAGCATATTCTTTGTCTGGCTTGCAATTGGATTCTGAAAAAAATATAAAAATACTTCTTATTGTCTCATGAAAATTGAATTTAAGAGATCGTATCTCAAGGCAGCATTTCAAAATTTTAAATGCATTATTTTTAGAAAAATTCGAGGAAACCAATTTTAAATGTTATGACCAAGTTCGACATTGGATAAGATTTCACAATATTTGCTCGGCTTGTTTCACTCACCACATCTAGGCCGTCAACAGAATTAGATCGGAATAGGGGTACTATCCGATTTTCCTGAGAGAGAACAACAGGAACTTTTGATTGATGCTTGCCAGCTGTGCAAGAGCCCGGAACAACAAAATTGTTCAATGGTTTTCCCCAAACCTGTCCTGATGAACGGAGAAAGAAATTAGCTTTAGACTACACTGAAATATTGGAGTGAAAAGATACTAACTGGACAATAACAACTGGGCGAGACCTTTCTTCAATTGGACGTGAAAACTGTGCAATGCAAATGCGGAATTGAAAAAGTCCCGATTTCTGAAACAAAGCAATATACCTTCAGCATTGCAGCAAATCTTTCTTGTCAGGACAGAAAAGAAAATGCACCAACTCATTAGTATAGCAAGCAACAGATGTTGGAGGTTCCATTTTTCCACTGAAAATTTGACTTCATTCCGTTAAAGCTTGTGTTTTCGTAATGAGATTTTTATTGATGCATTTTCAAGCGTGTAAAAGGTTGAAGCTATGCTTGTGGTAAGCAATGATTTTCAGGAATAATTAAAAAAAATTTATAATTAAGTTCAGAGAAAATTGTTCAATAAATGCCCAATTTGGACAATCAGCACGCAGTTCGATACTCACGTCACATTTTTTGGCGAAAATTTGAACTTTCGCGGTAGTTCACCTTCGCAGGCTACGTAGGTCCTTATCATCACTTGTTTAGAATCGTAAGACACTTTCTCTATTTTCTGCCATGGAAATGAAAGCCCAAGACGGCGACAAGTTCCGGGCAGCACACTTCTGTTCGATGCACCTGTTAACTCCCCTCCCTCGATTTTCCGCTGAACAACGTTCCAAATCTGAACACCATCTTGGTTAACAGCAACATCAACCTCGTTTGGGTAGCACATCGAATTCTGTAGTTCAATAGGAAATTAATGAAATTGGCCGAATTCTTGATAAGCAGGGAATACCTACAACTTGAGCGACAAAAAATTGATGGCCAAATTGAGGATTCTTGTTGACAATGGAAAGAAATTTCTTCTCAGCTTCCTTGTTTTCTAACCCACGCCACTGTGCGTGATAACCAACCAGTCGTTTTCGGAGTTCCAGATCATCTTCCGCTTGAATTTCAGTTTGTTCCGTAGGCAAGTAATGCGCCAGTAAGAAGTAGTCTACTCCCTATAAAGAATTTGCATTGATATGCTTGAATGCATCAGGTTACAGCAAATAATGACACAAACCTGTCCAGGAATATCACCAATTTCTGCTTGCATAGCCAAGGAAGCCAACTCAAACACATCCGCGGTTTTGCTCAGAAGGATGGAACCCTCCATTATATCATGACGAGCTTGCAGGTACAGAAAATGAACAAGCCGAGACATCCTATCACAAATGCAAAATAATTTAAAATTCATTCTGCAGGAAAAACTTGATTCAATTGAATAATTGTACTTGCAAATGAAATAATTACCCAAATGCATCTGGAAGAATATACACCCGCATCCTGACGAACAATGTGAGAAGTTGGGTTGATTGTGCATCTCCACTCTTGCCATCGTTTAAATATTTTATGAGTTTCACGTCCGGTTCCAGGAAAATAATATCTCCTTTTCGAAGACTAGCTAATCCAAACAATAAACGTTCTGGCCCGCTGATGCCTTCATGCGCCAATACAGTCTGAGAAAGGAGGAAGCATGATGCCTGCTGCATCAATCAGAGTAAATTGAACTCACCGGTAGGATGGTCCTTTCCGTGGTTCGCTTGGCGTCGCAGGTTATGATGTACTTGTGTCCACCTAGAGTCACCACAGTCACTTCAACGGTTCTTCGTTTTTTCAAAAGCTGGGGAATGTGTCATAAATTTGACATTAACTAAGCTCTTCGGTTTCTTTTTGAAGTTCACTCACTGTATGAATGGATGTTTCCACGTCGATCTCCTTTCCAGGTTTCAAGGCATTTCGAACGAACTCAGGCCCGTGCCATTCGGAATTGTGTGAGTACACTTGAGATACGGACACGTTTTTCTTCATACTTAAAATGTTTCGTACACTCAGAATTCCCGCGCCTACGAAGGTACAAAGCTCATTCTTGTCTTCCTGATTAGAGTAATGTACTGTACTGTACTGTGGTTGCACGCAAGGGACGTTGTAATTCAAACCCGCGGGCGGTGGGAACAACAGCAAGCAGCCATATTGATTTCTTCAGAGGAAGCAGTGCTTCAGCAGAGCCATTCAGATTTGCACCATGTTACAGTAGAGGACTGTAATATCCTGTACTATAGTGTACTGTATATTCATTGTACTGTACTATAATTTCGGAATCTTTAGCTAGGTTATTGCTTTTTGGCGAATTTTTTCCAGTAAGTCGTCTTTTTTTCTTAAGGAGCTGAAGACCTGATATTTCTGTCGAATATAAAGCACAGTTGATGATGCGGGAGTCAAATAATAAATTATAAATCTAATATCATGTACAGTACCTACATTGCAGTTTAAGCAATGTTAAAATTGCATGATCAAAATTTCGATTTGAAACCATTCAACAAAGCCCAGCATGAAGTCCACCTGTACATTGTACCTAAAAGTACCCATTCAATTGATGCTGCTGCCGAATATATAGACCCTTGTTTGATCAATAACCGGGTTTGAGAATCCATACGTAGAAGGCGGACGAAAAGCAGGGTTATTCCCTTTCTGTGCTATGTTGCATAACCTGTTCGTCAGCGCAGTTGAGTCTCGGAATCAAATGCTGTCTTCTCTTTTATATATTCGAGTGATTTGAATATTCATCCATCAGCAATTTATTTTTCTCGTGATACAGCATTTTCAAGTGTTTTCATATTTACAGTAACTATCATTATATACATTAGTGTTTGAAAATTGCTCGAGAATACAGTGAACACTGTATACAAAATACACATTTCTCAATAGGGCTTTATATTAAATGGGAAACAAATAATTCATGCTAACCCACAAAATAGTGTCGCTTCAAGAATTGTGAATCAGTTATTGCGACATCAGCATATATATTCAACATATTTATTGGAAGGTGGATACAATTTATGTATTGTATTGAAGAAGAAAGGAAGATTTTTATGGATTGGGCAGTTATTGGCGAATTTCACGATTAAATCGCATATTTATGCATAAAATAAACTCGTATACGAAGGTGCGTGGGCTCTCTCTTGAAAAATCTGTGTTGACAACGATATTCTCCGCATAACAATTTTTTTTCATTTCATTCCCGTAAAGTTATGAACATGTTATTATATACTGGGTTCTCTATAACGAAATTCCCTGTGCAACGACTTTTTTTCTGGTCCCTAATTTTTCATTGTACAGCCCGCCTTTTCACATTTGTTTTGATTATATTATACAGGAAGTCATATTTATTTTCATAAACGGGATCCCTTATTCTGACCGGTGATGACCAGCAAATTATCATCCAGAACAATGAAAATGTTGGGAATTCATGTAAATAATGTATACACATACAGTACTTATAAATTGTTGTGTGAAAAAAATAATTGCTAATAAAAAAAATCGTAAAGAAAAAGGAGTTGTAATTCAAATTATAGGTGTTCTTTTTGGCATATATGAGGCACCTGATTTATACCAATTCATTTTAATCCATTTCAATCTCATAAAAAATTTCGTTACAGTATTTCAATCGATGGTGCACGTCCTGCAGATTTTCGTTGAAACGTCTATATTATAGTGATGGTGATATTTTGGGGGAGAAAATTGCAACCAATTATGCATGATTGGAAACATCAAATGCTGTTTATAGTCTGTAACTTTTCACCGAAACAACCGCAAATCAGGTTCTCATCACACTAAAAATGATCGCGGTATTATATGTATATATATAGTGCTTTTGTGATACCAAGAACGCTTTTTATTACGCCTTTACGTATTTGATGACTGTAAAATTTATTTCAAAATTCGAACATTAAATTTGGTTTCGTTTCGTCTTCCAGATCCACGATACAGCACAAGCTTTTTTCGGCACAATTTTTGTAGGAGACCCAGTGCGTTAAAAAATACTGTATAGTATTTAGTAGGTTATTATTATTACGGTATTTCCAAAATGGCGACCAGTTTTGGGTGGAAGAAGGACGAAGATCACTTGGCCTTGTTGAGGCAAAACATGAATGAACCGAAGAAGCAACGGATAAGACGACGACAGCTTGCTGTTGAACAAGGATTGCACTTGAAAAGGTCAGTCAAATTTTCGATTTTGTTCATTGCCTTAAATTCAAAAATATACAAGCCATGTTCAAAACATTTAAAGATGCAATCTTGTCAAAACAAACTCAGGAGAACCTTCAAAAAGTTGTGCATTGTAACACAAAGGGTATTGTGACAGCAAGAAATCCATGTTTTAATTTGTTCTATAGGCCCCATAACATGTCTCCTGAAATGAATGGATTTACTTGCAATTTGCATGAATTTTTCTTTAAAATTGAGAGGAAAAAATGTGGTGCGCATCATGGGTGGATATCTTGTATATTACATTTTTTTAGAAGTTTTTTGGCTGTGTACAATATATTTGATTGTAATGGTTTTTTAATCAATTTTATCAGAAAAAAACATTTTAGAGAAAAAAGTGATCATTGCTTGTATTCAGGTTTATTTCTTCTCTAAATTCAACATTGTGTGCTACTACTTTCAAAATGTTGCAGTTTTTGAGTCACTAAAACTGGGGTGCAAGTCTTACTCAGGGATGATATTTTGTCAAAATTGTTGATTGAAAAACCCCGGTGCAAATCTTACTCAAGGGTGTGTGGTACTTGAGAAATATGGTATTTTCAAAATAGCAGTTTTATAGAGTCAGTAAAATTGGGATTCTGCCTTAAACTTGCAGATTCAATTTTATAAAAGAAATTTGACTGAAAAACCCTAATGCATATATTTCTTCATATTGCCCAAGTGGGGAGCTATTCTTGGTGTGACCCCGCAACTGGTGCACACATGGGCTATTGTGGGATTAAAAGCATGCACCTCCTGTAGATGAATTTTTGCTACCATTCCAAGGCTACATTTGGTGCACAAATGTTGCATAACAGGAAAACATACAAGCAGTATGCCCCAACTTTTAACTCGGTGTGACTTCTTTGTTTACAAGTGTAACCCTGAGTAACCCTGGTGTGAAGCATTAACACAAAACTGCTGGTGCACATTACAGATATGCATGTGCAAAAGAAAAATGTTGGTACACTTCAGGTGCACAGCAGGATCACTGTGCATAGAATTACAGGCATATATCCCCAGTTGTGCACCAATTTCCCCACTTGGGTAATTCAGGGCATGTATACATTACTCATATAAAAGTATAGTACATATATGGTGCAGTGCAAATCATGAAAGAACCTTTTTTTTTTGCATCACCCTCACACAAAAAAAGGGTTCCGCCACCAGAACCTCCACCATCTCCACCAGTGCCCGCGTCTGTAGTAGATGCGCAGATGCAGCAAAGTCGGATGACTCTGTTCCAAGCCCTGAGCTCCGGCAGTGAGGTAGTGACTAATGTGGAGAGAGCAGCCGTGGCTCGGGCCTGGCAAGTTTCGCACGAGGTTTGCCAATCCAGTCAGCGATTGTCGGATGCCGTGGCTGCGGATGCTGCGGAATGTGAGGCTCGTTTTGCCAAAATCTCGGCCGACTGGACTCCGATTCTTGCGCAACACGTTGCTCCAGAGGTCCTCCAGCAACAAGTGGATGAACAAATGCGTGAGCGTACTATTATCAATAATGCAATTTGTGTATCGATTTCTCCATTCCAAAAATTATTTAAACAAAAGTTAAGTACTGGTGGTACCTCGCAATTCAACCCTGATCCATTGCTGCTGGACAAAGCTCAGAATGGGAAGTGGTCCAATTGCGAGACAATTTTAACCCTTGGACGGCTAAGTCGGACTATTTTTGCGAAATTTTGTACCACCTCAGAGAGGTAAAGAAAAAAATGAGGACAGGGAGCCAAGGGCGAAGTCGGGAATAATCCCGGCGTTTTTTTCCCTACAGAAAAATTTTGTTGGCAAAAAAAAAAACTCTCAGTTAGGCTACTGGCTTTTTTTGGATTAATCCCGACTTGGCCTCAGCCCACCTGGAAGGGTTTTGGTGACCTTCCCAAGACTGAAAATGCGGGAGGATACGAAAATAATCGGACTCCGTCCCGCTATGGGAAAGAACCCTCCGCCGTCCAAGGGTTAATTAGAGGTCGTTATACTATATAAAGGCTGGAGTATATACGAGGGTTCTAACAAAAGTTCTTGGAGTAGCAATGAAAATGGCCTACAGTTGAGCTGAAAAATTTTTTTCTTTAGGCAAAACATATTCTTTGGCACACACAAAAATATCAGCCCATTGGCCGCCAAAGTGGTGGCCAATGTGGCGGCTGTTGATGAAAATGGCGGAATTGCCTTGGAAGATCTGGAGGCAACCCTTAGAAAGAATGCCAAGTTGATTAAAAAAAATTCTGAGGGGAAAGCTGGGCTGCAACAGAAAAAGGACAGTACTCATCTTTTGAGTGAAGAGCAAAACTCTGCCAGGGTGAATTATGAAAAAAAATATAAAAAAAATTGTCAAACAGGGCTGAAATTGTTTATGTGCCAAAGAATATGTTTTGCCTAAAAAAAAATTTCTCAGCTCAACTGTAGGCCATTTCCATTGCTACTCCAAGAACTTTCGTTAGAACCCTCGTATGTTGTTCTGGGTTATGCTGGGAGTTGTTATTCTTTTGTTTCTCTCACCTCGCACGATTTGAAATTATATTCATTGAATATGTGACATGGCTTTTTCCTTAATTTGACAATTTTAAAAATCAGGATCGCGGGATGAAGTCATCGCTGGGAAAAATCAGATAATAGATGCATTGGTGCGGGAAATTGACAAAACGGAAAAACTTTACGCGGATAATTTGAGTCGCCAGGAAAAGGACGTTGAAATGCTGGTTTCTCGAATGGAAACGCAGTACAAGATTATGCAGAACCTGTTTCTGCAGGAAGAAGCTGCCTTGGAGGTAAATTTTGTTCAGTTCATTTATTTCTAAAATGTCTCCGTTCACTTGATGATAACTAACGTTTATATTTATCTGATTTTCCATGGGATTAATTTTGAATGCGGATGGATTTTCTGAGTGAGTGGAGACGATTTCAAAGTTTTGTAAAAACTTTGAAGATGGTACAGACTCACTGAAAAATTATTTTTTT